CATATAAGGCAATACTGTTTAGCGTTGGCGCTAAAGCTAATAGGCTAAGCTGAGGTTCTTCTTCCATGAAGCAGCTCTGTTGTCCTCCATCCATATTTTCAGTTTAGACTGAATCATTTCTACCTTCTCCTCTCTGTCAACGCTCTCTGGTTTCATTTAAAAGAGTCGATCATCAGATATTGTCCAAATTTAACCTTCAGGGTGGATATAGCTCGCTAGCAGCCTCGCACCACGGACCTATCGACGTCATCATTTACCCAGAATGCTTTGTGTGTAAATAAAATGGTTCAGTCTGTGTTAAAATATATATATTGAAATTTTACTAAACTAAACAGCCTACAGTGTTTTTACAGTTTTTATTTTATAGTTAAAATACATTTTTATGAAATAAAGTCTAATGTTACAACTAATGGTGAAACAACCCAGTTCAGGTTTGGTTCCAGAGTTGAGTGGATGTATTGCTGATGTTTTCTAGGTTTTTCTCACTTTTTTCCCCAGTAGMTGCACGGTTAGATTTCGGCAGAACTACTTGGTTTGGTTTAGGTACCATGAATACTTTGGGCGAATATGTATCTTCGAAATCCAGATGCTACCTGGAGAAACCACAACAGAGCTGGCTTCTGTTCTCCTCTGAAAGAGTGGATCTCTTATAGGAGCCTGTTGTGGGACTTGTTGCCCCGGCAACTAGGCAGGTTGGTGCGACAAAACAACCTGAAATGAACACAACTTCTTAACACGGTACCGGCGGCATAGGAGAAGCTTGTTACTTTTTCTTTTCTTCCTCTTTTTTTTTAAACCGGAACACTGTTTAACACATCACACATGGCTTCATCGTGARAGAAAAGGCAGTTTAAATAAGCTACATTTGCATTCTGTCTTTAAGACCTAAAACTTCCTGTTTGAGATGAAACACAGCATCTTTTTTAATACGTTAACACCTACAAAAACACCTGTGTCTATAATAATTAGTATTTTCATATTCTGATCAGTCAACTTCTGCTTATATTTCAGGTTCAATAAACATCTGTACCAATCAGGTAAATTATTATGGATACTATGATGGTTTTATTTTGGTTTATTTGTTTATATACATGTATTTCTCTATATATCTATAGAGAAATATATATAAGAAGCATGTTCTATAGAGGGTGAGGCTGATGGGAGACTAAACTTGATGTTCAGGAGAGAAAGAAAGAAAAATAGCTGGCTGTGCTGCTACCATCCCCCCATCTCGTAGGCATGGCAGCAGCCTCACACACATGCGCCTGCACACACACACACACACCAGCACACGGACACACAAATACACATGCATACAAAGCACACATACATAAGCGTGCGCGTACACACACATTCATGCACAGCCCATCTCTCTTTCTGCTACCTGATGAGAGGCAGAGAGAATATTCCAGAAACACGATGAATTTTTTTATATTATATATATATATATAAAATAGAAAAATCACACTTCACCAGCTTTAATTCTAATTAAACCCACGGATGTGTTGTATGTAAAGCTACTTGGTCTCAAGGTTCAATAAGAAGCAGCTGAAGAGAAATGAGAAAGTTTGTTGTGAAGCTTCAGTTTTGGGGAAATGTTTTAGGAGTTTGTGTTGGAAAGCAGAGAGAGCAGTGGGTCTGTGGAGGTCCCTCTCTGCAACAACACACTGCAGCTCAGGGCTGATACACATCAGCCGTCCAAGGTTCTTCCTTGGAAATTTCTTTATTTAAAAAATAATGTTTGAAGAATTTAAATACTAATTTATACAGCAGTCATTTTCTGTGGTGAAGCAGTCAGGCAAAGTCAGAAAAATCTGCTGTAAAGTGCCGTTTTCTTTCTGTAAAGTGCAAAAAAAAAAAATTAAATTCAGAGCATATCTGTCCAGATTAAAGATAAAAAAGTGATTTTGGCATTGCCATTTTTTTCCTTCTTTTGGACTCTTAGGCTAGCCTGCCAGAAATTTGGCAAACCTACCAGCATCTACAAAACAAATTCCCCCAATTCTTTCTGCAGGATTATCACTCTCCCATAAGCATGCTTTATTGTCGCAACAATACATTCGTCATTGTAGTCTAAACTGCCACACAGACTGGACCCTGTTTGAGCAACATGATCCCATGGCATTGCCGGTTTAATCACATTTCTGTGTGTGCATCTTTGTGTGTATTTTTTAACACTGTTAAAATGAAAAACAAAATGATTAGTGTTAAGATGAAAGCATCTCATTGGACCAGGCTGGTTTTGAACTAAAAACACATTTTGAGATTATGTTTTAAAAAAAAATTATATAATGCCGTTGAGCAAAGTTCGGTTTGCAGTTTTGTGTGAAAGATTCAAAAATATATTTTTATGTTTTGCAATAAGTTTTTGTGTCACAAATTTGCCACTGGGTACGATCCTACATCTTCTCATCACTAATGAAGTTGTGAGTCCAAACAACACAAAACAGAGAAGCAGGAAAAAAAAAACATTTCTAATTCCCTTAATGGGAAGTTCTCCAGAGTTACCTTCCTACCGTTCAGCCTCTGTCTGGTTCTAACAGTGTTAGGAGCTCTGACCTCATCTGTCTTGTTCCAGAAGGTTTCCCAGAACAACCTCAGAGCAGTGGCGCCCTTAGAAATATTTTATTGGGGCGAGCATGTTAGTGGGGGCCTGAAAATCCTGGGATGGCATCAAAACCATCATCATTTCAGTAGATTTGTTATGTTGTCATAGAGGTTTGACAAATACAGAAATGTTGGAAATAGTAAGAGCAGCTAAAGTTCACATGATGAGATACTTAAGCTAATTTTTGGCCCGATTTTTCCCTTCTAACAATCTCAAGGATGCCCCGATTATGGTGATTGCTCGAAAGATAATCTTAGGAGATATTGCTGCCGTGTGAGGTGTGTTAAGCATGATCTAGTTGGCTCGGAAGGACACTGAGACCACTCCGATTACAATTTGGGGGTATTCAATGGCTGGGTCCTTGGTCGACCGTGAAGACCGGAAAGAATTGGCTGTGAGTTTACTTTACTTCGCCTAGCATCCGTGACGATGCTAAACAGAAGCAAAAATAGATCAAAATTAGCAAAATATCAATATATTATTGAAGAAATTTATAGTTTAGTACTGATTAAATACAACACATAGTTAGGGTTTTCTATTTTATAATACCTTTATAATGTGTGTTATATTTCTWACAAAGTTAATTGAAATAGAGTAGATACATGTCCGAAAATAACAACACATAATTAAAGCTGGATTAACATTAGATTGAGGACTGTCTGTATGAATGCCTGTGATTCAGCTTTAGGCCAGCAGAGGCGGACTCGGGCATTGAAGCTCCTGTATTTATTGGCCGACTTCCTGTTTGGACCCCAGTGTGTGGTTTTGACTTGCCAGCTCATGGCTGAATAAACCCTCACTCCAGAATTCTGGTGTTGTATGGCAATTATTTCTATCACAGATCATTTTATTTAACACTTGTGTTTTCACCTGACTTCAACCGTTATTGAACTCGTATTTCCTTACAGTTTTGGTGACCCACGACGTCCGGTTGATCAGGTTATTGCGAGCGAAGTGAGGGTGGTGGCGCTCCATCGAAGCGGGCCCATCGATGGGTGACTTGCGGATCGATACACCGCCGATAACCAGGTGAGCAAAATATTTTTTTGCTTCCCAGAATGTTAATAAAACGGGGACGGTGTGCCGACCGGGGGGTTACCGTTGTTGTGGCTTGTGCGGAGCGGTGAATCAGACTCGCTGAGTGTTAGCTTCTGTATTAGCATTGCTAAGCTGAGGTAGGCCCCAGCATAGCAATGTTAGCGTGTTAGCTTATCGGTCGTAGACAAAACAACCGCTATTAGCTAAAACAGACGGTAAAAAGCGGGTTTTGAACAGTTTAACATATCGATCTGTTGTGATTTAATGTCATACAATTACATATATATTTAGTGTACACATCTGAGGCCGTTTTAATGCGCTATTCCGAAAACCTCCAGCTGTGCCATCTATCATAAAGCAGGCTGTGGAAGGTGGGGGGGCTAAGCAATTATGTGGTGGGAGTGAGTGAGCTAATTAAGCGTCACCACAAGGAAAAAAATCCAATAAGGTGTTAGTCCGGTTATCTGGTGGGGGGGATGCATGGTAGAAAATAAATATTAGTTAAATCCTTTTTAGAGGTGGATGTGCGTGCATCTTAGGAAAAATCCAGAAACCAAACTCTGTGTTTCCTCTTTTGTCCTGTCTGTGGGACAACGTGTGGGCTGGGTTTCCACAGAGCAGGTGGTTATTCACACGATTGTGTCATTTATTGATTTTAGAGTAAAAGTACTCCTAGGTTAAGAAGTCTGACACAAAACGTGACTGCAAGTGGAGTTGTGGGAATATTGTGTGTATTATAAATGTAGGTGTCACTAAACTGATTTATGTTATGAAAAAATGTATGTTTATTTCTAACTGTTAGGTTTATGTATTTTAAGTTGTTTGGTTTACGTTTTGAGATTCATGTAAAATGATTATATTTTATTTCGTGTCGAACTATTTTTTGTTGGAAGTTATCGCGAGATTTGTGTACATGTGATTGTGCTGCGAGACTTKGATKAACAGAGAAKGAGYGGAARCCTGGAGGTGAGCACGTGCAGCAGCCTTGTCTCGTGTTGTTATGGTATTTTGTAGTTATGTTTGTGATATTTTGTAAATTTATTGGTTGTCGTGTTTTAATTATTTAATACTTTGATTTAGAACAGAGAACGAAGTGATATTCTTCTAAAGACCAACCTCCGAAGTGGCAGGCGGCCACGAGGTAACTTTGTTAAAGCATGTGTCATCTGTCTGTCTGTAAATATATCTGTCTAAAGCTTTGTGTTTTGTTTTTATAGTTTTCACGGCATTTAATAAAAAAGCCCGTCGAAAGAAAGCCGTGCCAGTGTTGTCACTTTGGAGTTACAATAAATATCATAAATCAATGAAATTAGCTTAAAGGCAATATTTGAAGAACTAAGTGTCCCGCAGTACGTGCACATTTATGCCACTATACCAGCTCATTTTATTTATGGACACCAATAATAATAAAAACATGTCTATACAAATGGCAAAAACATTAACAACACAACTGCTTGAAAAATTTTAATTCTTATACCGCTTTGTCCACCATTACGAGCAGAAAAAAAAAACTTGGTTGACCTGCAATGCATTATGGGATATGATGGGCTGAGAAAGATCCATCGGACCAGTCCCTCAAAATTTGTCAGCAACAACGGAGGAGTCTTCGAATTTGGACAGACTCCAGCGTGGCGCTGTGACGTWAGCGGCTGGTAAATTTGGCCTTCGAAGGATGCAACCCCTGAATTTGGACACAGCCAGTAGGAATGTCTTGGCCCGATATCCCCGAGGACAAACAACCTCACAGCCTCTAGAATGTGCCGTATAGCCAAGCAGAAAGCGAGGTGATGGAAATATGGAGGGGAATCCAAAATACAGAAGACAAAACAACAGCCATGGAGCACCAGAAAGACCAGCTTTTGTTTTGTTAAAAATAGTCCACAAACTATTGCCGTTGGGTTGTTTTTGTCAGCCATGTCGATTTACTCTGAACTCACGTTTGATCTCGCAACGTTCTCCTTCTGACCTCTGAATGTTGGGGAGTGAAATCTGTTTGAGTTTGGTGTCTTTGGCGTGTGGGCTCTCTCAGGCTTTGACAATCAGCCGACAATCTTAAAATCTTGCTGTGTGAACCAGGCATAAAACACTGTGCAGAACCTTCCAGGTTCCAGACCTCTGGTACTGGACCTGAGCTTGGAGTGAAGTGGAACATCTCATGTGGAAAAAAAAATAGGGCGAGCTGGATGCTTTTATATTTTATAAACCGGCCTTAAATGACCAGGTTCAAGTAAATAAATGTAACGTTTGATGCCAATAAAAGAAAAATATAGAACTAGATGAACTAGTGTCAGTTTGAAACACGAGCATCCACCAAAGCTTTAGACTTTCCAACCAAGTTTCAACATTTGTGACTAAAAGTCATATTGAGTCATATAGAGAAACATGTACAGCGACTGTAAAACAGATTCATGGAGCCTGAGAAGATCTTCACTTAAAAAACAAATCTGAAAACCAGTGACTGATGCAAGTTTTCCCTTCAATCCTCCAGGCTGCACTGAGTATCTATAATTCTAGCATTTTTATTACATCTTTATACGCTCAGGTGAAGCTTTGCAAAGCGTTGTCACTCAGCATACAATGTACTGTTGGGTTCAGAAAGGTAGAAGGAAACCTTTTAAAGGTAAAAGGGGTGGTGGGGGGCGGTATTTAGGCTGTTTTTTGAAAGTAGGAACAGTTTCTGAAATGTGACCCACAGTTCCCGAAGGTGAACTTAGAAGCTTGGATGAAATGAAAAAGCAGAATAAGCTGCAGAGTTTTCCTGATCAGGTTGTGTCCTGAGCGCTGCAGACGTCCGCTGTGGTTTACCACCATTATCCTCCAGACTTTCTAATGATCAGCAGCCAACTGAACACACACGGCACAATTCGCAGCTTCATTTACCCCTGGTGTTTACCTTGCCAAGCTCAGCCACTGTCTGTGTATCGTCTGCCACCCCCCCACAACGCTTTCTCTCATTTTTTTTCCCCAGGCTTTGTGTAATCGGCATCATCCCAAAGACGATCAATAGTGCTTCAAAATTACAGCTCGGTGCTGGCTGCTGTTCCAGGTGTTGAGCTGCTGTTGGACACTAGATTYAGGAGCCAGGTGTAACACGAGGATGGATATCTGTTGGAATTAAAGCCCAATACTTCTGACAACCTCTGTCCAAAAATAAAGGCTCCAGCCCGGCCACTGGAGAAATGCCCCCCCCCAATAAACTTTCCTGGACATCAATTGTCTCCCTGAGAACAGAAAATCAGAGTTGTTTCAAATRTTTTCTGGAGTTTTGGGAGGCATTGAGAGGATTTTATTCCCTAATGAGGTTTATAGATCGGGCACAGCCAACGTTAAAATAAGAGGAAACAGACCTCCTACCAAATCTGAATACCAGAAAGATGCAAATGTGCTCAACAATGTATTTATTATTCTGAATATGCTCAGAGACAAAAGGCTTTGGAAAACAGAGGGAGTGAAAGTGAGCTGCTCCTCTCGGCTCCACGCTGCTTAAAAAAAAGAAAGAAAGAGAGGAGAGGGAGGAGAGGGAGAGYCAGAGACAGAAAGATAGAGGAGGAGAAACATGAGGGGGGAAAACGAAAGAGGCAGAAATAGAGGGTAAAAAAAATAAAATCCTGGGCCTTGTGTCTTCTATTTTTTTAAAGCAATGGCATCCTGTGTTCTTGGATGTTTCGTTGCCATGGCAACTGTAACTTGGTGACCTCGTTATTTCTGCCTAATCCCGCTCTGAAATTATGGTTGCTCCACCCTTTTGCCTGGCTGCCCTGATAACATAATCATTGCAAATGAGGCAGGGGAATCGAGAGGAGGAGGAAGAAAAATATAAAATAAAATAAAAATATGGTTTGGCACAAAATGGTTTATTTTATTTATTTATTTATTTATTTAAAAAACTGACTACCTGTAATACGTATTCCATACATGTGCTCTAAACGTTCCGTAATCCTTTTTAAACGGCTGATATTAAAGGTGAGAAACAAAAACGTGAGTGAAGCAAAAGAACTGATTTCAGATCCAAGTGAAAACTGAGTCAGTTTGACAAAAACACTCACAAAGTTGGATCTCAGCAGACAACATCAACTGTAACGCACACACACACACACACACACGTGTGCAGAAACGTGCGACCTGACCGAGCGCACGCACGAGCACCTGAATTATTGATCTTTACAGTTTGATTAGATTCATTTATTGGACGAGGCAGAGGATGCACTCTGAAAAATTGATGGTTTTTTTTATAGATAAACATACAAACTAATAAATCCTCAGTCATGCCTTTTCAATAATTTACTCAATTTGCATATTTATTTTGGCAAATCTCATTACTTCAGACCAGGACACACTTATATATTCCACAATTTCATTAGCTTGGTTTTTTTGTTGCATAAATTAACATGGATAACTTGGACTGAAAAATACTGCTTTTGTTAAAATAGAAAAAAAAAAAGAAAAGAAAAAAGTTTCTGTGGTCATAAAGAAGACAGTCTGTTCCAATTGTATTTTTTAAGCATTTGCATTAAAAGTGAAACAGCCTTATTGTGTGAATTCATTCACTTAACTTCTGTGCTGAACACACTTCTGGAGAAAAGCTACAAGTTCACAGAGAGAACAGGCAAGCTCCACCCACTAAGACAAGTAATGATAATTTAAAAACCGCTTTCAAATTTAAACTTTACCTCCAGTTATTGTATAAGTAAAGAAACAAAAAAAAAAAGGAAAAAGTATGACTAAACATCGTAACAAACGATACGGGCTAAATGCTACAAGAGCAGAAATGGGAACTAATCAAACAGATGGGTCATAAGTGTAGAAACAAAGCATCAAAAGCCGGTTTCTGACCCGTCTGCTTTGAGAAATTCTGGCGCCTGAGCAAATTCTCTGGATGACCTCTGGTGTTGAGCAGGYTGAGTCACAGCAGCTTTGAAATAATGACTTTCAGAGAATCTTCAACCTGAAAAAATAAATAAATAAAAATAAATCACCTAAACCTGCGTTTGTATACTGARGAAAGACCCAAACCGCAGCATCAAACAGACTCAACACAAGTTGAGTCTCTTTATACAGAAACCTCCAACTGAAAGAGCTCAATGAGAAACAACAGCCTGACGGGCAGCCCTGATCCTAACCCTGTCCAGTCTACACAGGTGAGCCTTAAAYACACTTTTTTGAGTTTTATATCATGTTTTAAAGTCATTCCCTCATCAAAAACACATCTAGAGTRTTGCTTTGACTTATTCATGCATGTTTATAAAAYMCTGTMCTGTCCTGTAGCTATTCAGGARAACAAAAATGGCTGKTTGGGCCTAGAACCACCTTTTAGGTGCAGCTCCTCCTCTGTRTCTACAAGCCCCGCCTCCTCATCACAGAGCACACCTCCCCCACRTCTCCTGCAGGCTATCAGCAGCAACAACTAGCAAACAACTGGTGAAACCGTGCGGCTGCTGAGCTAATAATTCTCACTCCAGTCTTTTTCAGATTAAAAATACCTTTGAGGAAATGTACGTATTTTCGAATGCCAAGGATGACACGGTTCTTAAGAAATGGTTGGTCTTTAATTTAAGAAGTAACCCTCTTACTGAAAAAAAAAACAAGTTATATTTGTGTGAACCACATTACGGAAAATAGTTTTCTGAACAAAATGAAATTTAACAGTGGACTAATAACCAGATCATCACTAAAAGACGATGCAATTGCAACACTCAGAAGGACATCGCTGCAGTTGGCCCAGGTAAGCTGAACCCAACTCTTGTTTTGTTCGGTTGTTTGGTCCATCTGAGATCTACAGTTACCATTTGTAACTTATATTACGATCTGTGTTCTTTAGTTGGCTTACACCACATTTTAGTAATTAATAAATGAGCTTAACATTGATGTGTGACAGTCAGGATGACTGAGATACTGTATACTGTATCTTACCAGCTGAAACGTCATCTCTCTACTCGCTCCGGTTCTTCAGAAAACCTACTTTACGGTCTGACGTGAGATAATTCAAGTAAGGTTCACTTGTATCCCGAGTTGCTACTTTCCAAAACTGATACTAATAATGTTGCTGCTTTTTAATTATTATTATTACAACAAAATACAACACTTCTRAGACTGGTTGTAAACAGCATGGAGCTGTTGTGATGACTTGCAGAAATGGGCGTGACYGAAGCGGTAAGAGGTTCTTAAAGGGACAGAGGCCAGTTTCAAGGTGTTTAGTAATGGCTATGATGCAAAATCAAATTTATTTTTGTTTTATAYAAACTGATAGCGTTTTCA